AAACGCTTGCGAAAGCGACAAATATACGTAACGCATGTTGGAACGGGCGATAAATGAGTCTTTCGAAAGTCGAACTAGTCGACCCCCATTTTTTGTACATTTCTGGATTTTAGCGCACAATTAATCTGTAATTTCATCGATTAGTTTGTAAGTATCGATTGATTGTAATTAAATTGTAAAGCATGTTTGTTGGCACACGATTAATTTGTAATTTCAATGATTAGTTTACAATTTCGTCGATTTTCTGTATCTTTTATCTCAGGAAGTTATTAATTGTTTCTTTTTGGCCTTTAAGAGATTCAAATAATAAAAATGAAATCACGAAATAATGATAATGTTTATAGTCATCCAAGGCGACATTCAACCTTCCTCATTTTTTCCAGAACAAAACGTTCTCCTCTTGGATTCTCGAGAGGATAGACTGGCGCACGGTTCCTCCGGAAGCTTTTGGAAGCAAAGACCATCTCGTGGAAACGAATCGATCGAAACTGTCGGATCAGGATCGTTCCCGAACAAGATCTCGCGACTTCGAGTAGCAAGAAATATAGATCTCGAGGAAGGATACAAAAACACCAGTGCAAACAGAAGGACTTTAATGGACTATAACGGTCCAGTTATAATGGAGGATCCCGATGATACGAGCGATCAGAATCTCGCGAGTCACGTTCGCGTCAAAAGAAACGAGCCGATCGTTCGCCGATCGAGCCGCTCGGTAAAGTTGGTCGATTCGTTTCCGCGAAATTCTCAGCTCAGGACCGACGCGGCCAGCATATTCGGCGATTCGATGTTCGAAGGATCACTCTCGGATCGCGAGAACCGATCCGACAGTCCTGCCGTTGTGGATACCGTCGTCTCGCGCTCGCGGCGCAAACGAGGGGTCCTGTCGAAAAGCGGATATCGCAAGAAACGCGTCAAGGGAAATGTCGGGCATACGAAGCAGCACGTTGAGATAAAAAACGGAAAAAAGAAGAACGGTGTCTCGAAGTCCTCCCATCAGTCTCGCAAGAAAAAAACGAAGGATCTAAGCTCGAGTATATGTTGTCGTTGATTTCGCACGTTTCAAAACATATCGAAATTCGTGTATCCGTACCTCACTAAATACTATTCGATTCTCAAGGGATGTTGTAAGAGATGATATTTTTTACGAATCGAATAAAACTCAGAATTAGACGGTCAACATTAAGGAAAGAGTTTGTTGCTTAGATCCTTAAATTAGCTTATTATTTTTTAATCTGAGAAACAGACCTGAAATAGATATAGAGAGGGGTTGTTATTTATGCCAGGCATATTTATAGCAAAAAAATCTTAGATAAATATATTTGGAACCATATAAAAAAATGAAACCTTTACGAGAGAGTATTTTAAAACTGAAAAAAACCTATTTTTAACTTATATCGTGTAACAGACAGTATATAAACGACCCGCAACATCGCGAATATACAAATACTGACGAATGTGAGCTTGAACTTTCAGCTTCTCAGAATGAATTTCTTCTTATTATCTCATTTATTTGTAGGAGAAAAAAATAAAAATAAAGGAATCCGAATGCCCGTCAGAACGACCGACGAGTCCAGGATAGAAAAAAGGGAGTCCGGAAATAGCGACTTAAACACTGACATTGACACTGCCAACGTCGAGGAAGCAGGAGGCTTAATTAGTCAGAAGGAAAACGCGTTATTAACAAACAATAGAAGTCTCGCTAAACAGCGAGAGGAGAACACCGTTGTGTTACCCTTCGTGCATACCGGAAGAGCGGAATTGCGCTTTCGCATCGAAAAACTTCCCGTGAACGAGTCGTCGTTCATCAGTCCCAACCGCTGGACGGATTGTCCCGTCGGGACCAGCCCCTGTTCGATTACGTCACCGAAATACAACGCGAGCGACGAAATTCTCGATCTCAATGTCACGAATCTCGAACTCGGCCCGAATTTCGACTCCGTCGCGGGAAGGAAGGCTGATAATTTAACAGTGGAGATTACGCTGAAGAAACTGGATCGCGGGAGTAACGCGTCAGTCCCGGAAACGAGCGATCCTGATGAAAGCATGTCGTTTTACAACACGGAATCTCATCCGGTTAGATCCAACGTGCCGGGGATCGAAGACGAGCGAAATACGGAAAACGGAAACTACGATCGCACGAATGAGATGTCCGCGGGATACTCGGACGAGAAGTCGCGCGCGAAGAGAAACCAGGAAATTATGTCTAAGCGCTATCTACGAAGTGATAAGAACGCGAAGGGATCGAGACGTCTCAAGGACGCCGAACAAGGAACCGTGATCGGAGACGGCAAGCGTGGGAAGGCGGGGGACAGAAGGACTCGCGGCAATCGCGCTGTAAGGTCGATCGAAGAGATTAAAAATCTTGCCGAAAAGTTAATCGTCAAAGTAAGGAACCGTTCGATTAAGAATCCGCTTCCTCGGGGATTATATTTTAAATTTACTGTAGATACCCTTCGTTTTCAGATAAACGAACTGCAAGTGTACGTGATCAATCGTACTGAGACTCTACGCGTGAGGGATTCCTGTAAAGACGCGGTTTGCGCGGTCGACGAGGAGGAACCGAGGACCTCTCTGGAAAAGAAGGACGTCTCGAGTTCCACGTCCAAGATCGCCAAGAACGTCGACAGCCGTCAACGCTTCGCGAAGGAGGCGGCCTTAGCGGGTAAAAGAATATCTCAAACGCGTTCTGGCGGCTCGAGATTCGCGCGGGGGGAGTATCCGACGAGCAGGAGATCGCGTCGCAAGTGGGGCAGGTGGATGGATTGGAGCAGCTGTAGCGTCACCTGCGGCAAGGGTCGACAGATTAGGTGGCGGCATTGCCTGCACGATTGCAACGACGCGGAAACCGAGATGGAGGAGAAAGCGTGCCAATTGCCGGCCTGTCCCCCAAGCAAGTTCCTCGGAATATTCTGAAAGATACTCCTCCTACAGAATCACTTGTTGATGTAGCCGCGCTTCGTAAACAAGAATCTCGAGTTCGCTTCTCGATAAGGAAAGTTCGCGAAGTATTAAATTCTTTGACATCATTTTTTATTTTATTCTCTTTTTTTTCTGTGGGTAACACAGTTTTCGTACAAAGACTTTTACGACCGGATCACGCGCTCATATTTTACATTACGTAGGAACTATCAAAGATGCAATTAACGATCGATGATGAGTCACTCCGGGAAGATATTTAAACGACGAAGTTCTTAAAATTCGCGCGTTATCGCCGTACGAATGAATTTTGTACAGCCTCGTGAACCTTCCTTGCTTATCAATCCATGTGTAACACCGTTGTATTTCGCATAACTGTGTAACAAATCGTTTGATGTATATTTCTCATCGTCTCATTATCAAATACATAATATATTATACAGGACTCTTAAACAATAATCTCCTTCTTCGCCTTCAGTATTCACAAATAACGAGGGCGTTCATCGCTTAAAGAGTAAGTCCGTCGCAGCTCAATCATCGTATTCATTTTTTACAAAGTCACACGAGATACGATTGTCCGCCTCTTTGCTAATAACCGCGTCAGAAAATGTTAACGGGCGTATACTTTCGGTACACGTGCAGGTAGAAATGAATCTATACAATGCTTCCTTCCCCTCTTTTTTTTAATCAAATGCCGCAGGACTTCGTTCTATCAGCAATCCGCACACTTTTGTATGTTATAAAATTTGATATCGTACAATATTTATAAAGTTTCCTACAATACAATTTTCTCTTACGTTCGTTTTCAGCGATACTGACATAGAAAAATGTTAATAAAATTCGATCCATTTAACATTTTTATCCCATCAATTTAGGCGTAACGTAAGAATCGAAGTGTATTGTGAGCAACGTACAATTCACCTATTATTAAGCTAGATGACATGATAGTACTCTCTATAAGCAATTATTTGTCAAAGAAATATTCAACAAATACAAATGTATCATGTTTATGCGGCGAATTTTATTACAATCGGAATATTATCACGTCATTAGTGTAAGTCTTCAATCATCAACAGTTCAACATTTTTTTATCTTCTTCCTGGACACTTGGATAAGATATCCCTCGAGACCACTTTTAAATGCATGGTAAAATGGACGTTTGATAATAAAATGCAATTGTTGACAAAGATTGTAATTTGTAGCCTGCAAATATAATTAGTATCTATTTTTCTTTCATCGAACATCATTATTTTAGATGTCAATTATCCGACACATTTATTAACAAACAATCTGTGAAATATTCTCATGAATGGCACATTCTTAAATGCTGATTTAAATAAAATGCGCCTTATCGATATCTAATTTACATTTTGATGTTATGCTGCGTCTCACTCTCGGACTAAGTGCACAATAAAAAAAAATTGCTACAAAATAACGATACACGATATAGTGCCGAAATGTCGTACAATCGAACATTCGTGAAATGAGAATTAAGCGAATGAGAAAGACCATGTCAATGTAACGCTTTGAACTATTTAATATTCGACTTTACTATTCAAGAGAACAGCGTCACATGTACAAATTGATCACAATGATAAAACGCACCTATTCTTCGCGCGCACGTATTCACGCATACATACAAATGCTCCTACACTCATGCATCGTTACGTAATCAGTAAGTATCAATGGTCGCATACCGTGCGCATTGATACTCATATAATTTTGTCCTAGATTAAAAGGACGCAAATCAGTCACCATTGTAAATTGTAATCTTACCTATCACTCGACTACTTAAATCGTGAACGCTATGCTTGACAACTTTGAGCTTTGTTTTAACATCGTCAACCTATCTGCAATTGCAACTATCCAGTAGATCTGATACGTGTATGTCAGTTTGCGGTCAAAGCTTGATGTTCACAGCTAGTTGCACACTTTTGGCTTATCATTTTATAAGAACCAGTCACTCGTGTGGAAGAACCAAGGCGCATCTCGTGATATTGTGTATATATATAAAGTTCGTTTCCTTTTTATATATAAAACCGCAGTGACTTCGTCGTGATCTATGAGATCAGAATACATCACTATTAAAATAGTATATTTCTTGCTTGTTCGACTTGATTGTTCTCGTCGGAGGAACAATAAGCCAGTATGTCTATTTGTTGCTCTTCACCACCGGCCAGCACTCGCACATCTCGATCCGCATCAACGCGCATTTTCGTGAGTATTCTTTCCACTTCTTCCAACGCTTCCATGCCCAAATTGTCCACTAAAGATAAAAAAGTACAAGATAAGATGCAATATACAGAATCAGCGCGACATATTATGGATGATAATATTAATACTTACAACCCATCGCAATCACATCCGTCGCTATAGTTCTCGCCACGGCTAATCTTACGTTAGGTACTCTGTCGCGTGACAAAGTTATCAAACATGGTAACATTTCCTTACAGAACTTCTCTCCCGTGATCGCGTTGTTGCGGATCAGTTGGGCGCACAGGAGTGCATAAGTTTGCCGGTATGTCCACTTATCAGCGTCTAGAACTAGAGTCTCTCGAAGCTCGAGAATAAGGGACGTCACCAGGACGTCCTCGGTGGACAAATAGCACATTATTTGCGTAATCTGAAGAAATTCAAGTTCAAATTTGTAGGCGGAACAATTATAAATTGCAATATATGCGAGAAGTCCAAATATCCTACCAGTTCAAGCGCGATGGTTCTAACGGCGGCAACCTTATCTACAAGCAATTGGATAGACAGCGGCGCGATACTCCGGGCCACGTCGCTCGGGCTGAACAGGCTCACAATCTCGAGCAATTGCGTGGCCAGTTCCTCCCTGAACCTCCAGTTCCATTCGTTATCCGTGGCGAGGAAGTCGCTTAACCTTGGTAGATATTGACAGCGGTCGGCGGGTTTGAGTATTTTCAGAAAGATCGCAAGGTGCTTGAGCACACCTATTCTGACCTCGTCCAAATCCTTGATAAAACCGTCATAGATTGGCACGAGGTCAGTGGCAGTGAGGTCTTCGCCTAATATCATGGCAATCTCGTGAATGCTGGATGCTAGAGTACGCCTGACCTTCCAGTGTTTCGCGCTCGACAACGACTGGTAAGCCTTTTTTAAGTAGTGCCAGTTATCTTTGCCCAGCGTAAACGCGACTGCGGGAAAACTGAAGGCACAATGATGCGGGATTTCGGCACCCATATCCACGCATTGTTCTGGATCGGCCATCGATACGTAATAATTGATTAATTCCTGAGGTACGATCTCTTGTCCATTATGTTTCGCGTTTAAGTTCTCACAAGATTCGTCATTCTTGCCTATGGAATCTATGTAGCACATATGATATAGATATTTTCTAGGTAGAGCGTCTAGGGTACAATCGAGGTTACACTCTTGGGTGTCGTCCAACGAATCCGCCCTCGGAAAACAGTCTTCTTCGTCATCATCATCATCATCATCTTCTTTTTGTTCATCGAATTTATCGACTGATTGCTCGTTCATGTTTGAATCATCCTCATTCGAATTCTCGACGGGAATTGGAGTGAATTCGGAAGACCAGGAGAACGAGCAATTTTCCTCGGTCAAATTTTGTTCCGTTGCCGTCGCGTTCTGGGCGTTATTACGATTCATCACCGATTGCCTCGCAGCATGGGTAAGTTCATCATCCAGCGGTATATCCGGAGGTATATAATAATATAAAAATGGATTATATTTCTCCGTTTCCTCCATCTCTTTCTTGAGTTGATGTTCATCATTATACATTATTCGAAGTTCCTGGAAATCAAATCAGAAATATAATAATTTTATATTTAAACTTTAAAGAGCGTACACATATGAACTTACAACGAACTTTGCACGTAGAATTATAATAAAACAAATTATTTTTTAATTAAAAAATTAACTATTCTTCGTGATTTCTAAGATTAAAGAAAGATTAAAAATAAAAAATATAATTTCCGTTGTTCTTGATATAAGACAAATTTTAATAAATATGAAACGTTATGATATAACATTTAAACATACTTTATATAGGTCTCTTTCGCGATCTTTTTTTTCTGAGGTTTCCAATATTTTAACGCTATCATGTCTCACATTCATCACAGGCAGATAAAACGAACTTTTGCTACTATCGTCGATATCTGGTATTTGACTTTTGATCGCACCTTTCATAGGAAAGATTCCTTCGTACGAGTAACATAGGCTGCAAAAAAAAACACGCATTTAGATCGATATGAACACAAATTACAATAGTAGTAGGAAAGTTACACCACTATACCTGCGGATATTATCCTGCTTACTGGTATACACTAATTCGCCGTTCTTATTGTACGTGACTTCGGCGAACTGTTTGGCGAAGGTCGATATGAACGGTCCGAGTATTTGAAAGGCCGATATTCGCACCCACTTGGAGTCATCGTTCAAGTGTTTAGCCAGTATGTCCGCAAGTAACAATCGGCGATGTTCAGGCGTCGAACAGCAGGCGACCGGCATCATGACCTCGACGCACGCTTTTCGCACGTTCCACACTCTGTCGCCGCACAGATCAACAAACGTAGGAATCTAGAGACAATTCGAATGTCATCAGTAAACTAGACGATACCACTAAGTTCATATCAGACTGAAATGCGACCATGATTCTTTAGCTTTCTATTTTGATATCTATGAATAAGACTTACCAGCTTGCTATACAATTTCTCCTTTCCCACAGCGGTGCACATTTCCGCAAAGTGAGTAGCGCAGATTCTCCTCACCATCATGTCGTTATCCTCGCATAGGTCTAGGTATCGTGGTAGAAAGACCGTCTCTGTAAGTTCGCTACCAATCAGCGGTGCCAGTCTACACATGAGCTGCGAATTGATATAGAATATGGAACGTTGAGAAAATAAATAAGCGCAATGAGAAATTTAAACGTAAACAGATACGCGCTTATGCCGATTTTAATTTCAGGCGCTTCTCAAAATCATTCTGATTACGGAAATTAAGTTCTAGTTAAATTCTAATTAAACATTAAGCATATGCGGACGTACTTAAGTAAAGTATACAATTATAACGAACGATAAGAGGGGACAATATTTTTCAAGTATTAAGTAATATTTATAAAATTACATTAGAGTATTATGTAACAGGTGAAATACATCGTTCCGTTCCGCCAATCAAAGCTGGCTGTGATATGAATCGATAGCACCACATCACAACCACTCTGATGGGAGGAACAGTCGATTTTATTCAATCAGCCTTCCGTGAGAGACGTGCATCAGTTAATGGATTAGCGCTTATTGTACACAAGATGTACAACTACATTTACTTTATGTTACGTACAAAACGACACAACTCGATCTCGATAAAGATAAAAAGATTTATTTGAATTATTACAAATTGCATAATCACATTTAAATAATTAAATTGCGCGAAAGTACCGTGATCGAACGTATTTACATTAATTACGTTGAAAAATTAAATCACAACACGAAATAATAATAATGCAAATCCATCTTTTCCATTTTGAAAAGCAGCATACGGGTATTATAACATAAATTTATACGATTACATGCAACATAAATTACTTTACTGTAAACATCCTCTTTTTTATAATTATGTAAACATATCCTTCTTAACTTCACTTTTCAAAAATTATTATTTGCAACGTAAAATATATATAGGTAAAAACGATACTTTGATTTATACTCATTCGCTATTTGTAACTATCTTTCTGCCTATTCCAACTAACCATTCCTTAGTCGCTAAATGTCGAAATATAGAGAGAAATTCGCCGCTAATTTTTTTCGCGCATTCCAAACTCGTTGAATTGTGAGTGCCGCAACGCTCATCAAAGCTGGCTGTGATATGAGCATCATTACATCAGCATATTACAGCCACTTTGTGAGCAACGCGAGCACGCTCTCCTCCTTGCAGTCGAGAATACAATCTCCAGAACGTCTCAACATGTTACATCCTTTCGCGCTTCCGCCACGGTGTAAACGGCGATCCAATTCGTCAAAAATGGCTGTGATATGAAATTCAGAGGAGCAACACGCCACAACCAATTTGACGATTAGATCGCGTTCCTTCCTGCACGGCGCTTATTCGTCGGACGGAACCTTCCCGTGGTAATTTCTCAGAATGGATCGCGTAATCTTCTCTCGTGAAATTTGATGCAAATGTGAATATAAACGTCACGGTGATCTTCCGGTAGATCTTTCCGTATGTTCGTTCCATTATCCCGTCCTACGCGCTTGTCCCCAGATGCGTCGCATGTGTTATCGATTCAACAGGTATATATATCGACGGCGGAAAGCGGAATCTTCTCGACGATCGATTCTGCGGGCCAAGTCATCAAAATGGCTGTGATATGACTCGAAACATTCCACAACCAATTTGATGTATCGGACCGCAAAAGGTATATCCCCGTTCATGATGCTCCAACGTGGCGCTCCTCCGACGTGTCGTCTTTTCGCCTCTCCATCGCCTTTCTCACGTCTCGCACGTTGTCTCCTGATCGCTCCTCTCCTGTTCTCTGCCACTCGATTTTCCTCCACTTTTCCTTCCGTTCTCTTAATCACCGGAGCGTGTTGAAAACGGACACAATTTTGATCATCAAAGCTGGCTGTGATAGTCGAACTCTATGACAAACCAACTTTGATGGTAAAAGTATGCCCTGTCTTTCGTCGGGATGCCGGTATTCGCGTTTTCCACAAACACTCCACGCTCCTTTCCCTCCAATTCCGCTTTCTTTTTGTTTATGAAAATCTTCGATCGATGATAACTAAGTATTTCCTCGCTTCTTTAATCTTGCTCCTAAAGGATGTTTACCGCGTCTTTGCCGAACTTTTCTCTCTTTCTCCCTCTCCCTATTTCTGCTCTCATTCTTCTTATATTCTTATCGCTATGTTTCTTGTTTCGATTTGACAACTCGTTTTTTCAGCTAGCGCGATAAACCGTGTAATTTTCATCGCGTGATTCTCATTACTCTTCGCGCAACGTCGCCGAGGCGAACGGACGCCGCATGAAAGACAAGATAGTGAGACGCGATTGCGTAAGAACATCTCACTACCCATGTCTTTCAGGAGGAATCCGTAAATATGGAGGAACAATTTCGGAGGGTCGATATTCTCGATTTCGCACACAAAGTAACGCGACCGCCGCGTGTGACGTATTTTTAGTCTAAGGTTTCGCAATTCTTTTCGCGCGTCAATGACGAAAATTCGACATAAAATAGGCTATACAAAAGGCAAATCTGAGAAAATCGTGATTATCTTAAGTAATTATATTTGTGTGTGTTTAACATTATATTTTATATTTTTTATTTTAAGTAATTATATTTACTTAACATGTCGTTTTTCCTGTCCATTTAGATCACGTGTACCACCCCGACGATACATCATGTAATAATTATTTTATACTCAAAGTATTAAATGTCATGAAAGTTCAACGTTTCAGGCACACGGAACGTGTTAAGAATATTAACTTGTAAATATTGAAAATAAAAATATCAGGAAAATATCCTTTTTCATCTATTTTTTCTACATACCATCTACGGAAGAGAAATAAACAATAAAAACATTCGATTTACAGAATTATTTTCTTTAAGATAGTTTAAGGATTTTTTTACAATCTTACCGTCCTTCATGCGTATCTTTTCTTTGATCTAAGATAACAATGTAACTTGAAGAATATGTTACGTACAGCCTCTTTTATGTCAAGTTTTCGATTATCTTTCGGCTCTCGCGACAAGAAGAAAACGAATGAAGCGCGGGAAACTTACGGAGATGTTCGCGGTTCGGACATGTTCGTCGTTCATCGTGGGACAGATCAAGCTTTCTATCGTGGGACAGATAACATTCTCGATCGTGTCGTTGTCAAGGAGGCCTCGTTTCACCAACATTGTCAGCGCGCTTTGGGCCATTTGCCGTACCTGTAGAGCAAAAACGTCTCATAATATTTACATTGCCGCTGGGATATTTCGGTTTTTGCCCTTAGGAACGCGCCTTCAAAACACGATATAGGCATGCAGCGTGACGTGATCACTTGCCTGGTTGTCCAGGTCGCTCAGGTATTTCATCACGATACCGAGTAGGTGATTGCGGAGAACGTCGCCGAAGAGATGCGGCGCCTCGTGGCAGATAATCGCCACATTCGGAATTTGCTCCACCAGGTCCGACCGCACCAAAGAATCTGTAAACAGAAACTGTACATTGGTATGGTTTTTCGAAGACACAGAAAAAGCGGTTTTAATTTTTAATTCGATTTCTATAGCAATACAAGAAGTTTCGCGAGAAATCGGATTTAATTTAACCGGATCGAACGAGAACAAACTCGCTGTAATGTTCTCGTGATCTTTATTCGAATAACGTGTTCCGAAAATGGATAATATTAATTTTTTCTAAAACGAACGTTAGAAGAATGCCGTAGATGTATAATAAATATATTTGTCCTTTCGAATTAGTAAACTTTCGAGAAGGATCTGAGCGTTTTTGAATCTCGTGGACCAAATAAGAATTGAGCAACGAGAATTCATAACACGTGTTAATTTAAATTACTAGATTGAATCGATAGATGCGAGCAAATTTAAGTTCTGAAAGCTCCCCGAACCCAAGATAAGATCAAAAATCTATTTTAGCAACGACGAATTAAATTTTATAGAAATCCAACGGACACAGAGAGTTAGTTATACATTGCTTGAACATATTAAATTGTTGTTTTCCCTTCGAATATTACCTAGGTGTCATGTTGATACCACGTGCTATCGTTTCCCCGCGAATTCGAGAGTCACGTGCGACATCCACGCAGGAATCCCGGGAAGAAAAGCTTTCGAGTAAAGCTCCTCGGACGATCTACACGCTACTGAGGGCACGCGGGTAAATGTGGCGCGGGAAGCAATGGAAGCATAGCTTTGCGAAATGCGATGGAGGGGGATGCTAGAAGCGGGGGTGCTACAATCTGTGTGGGGCCTCACGATAGGACCGTGGGCCAAAAGACTAACTCAGTGGAAGGGATGCGTGGAAGAAATAAGGGAAGAAAGGAAGGGAGGAGCGAAAGGAAATGACGTACGTGTACTCTTTCGTGAGGCCCGACGCCCGACATCCCTGATTCTTGAACGTCCTTGAAAATTGTTCTTCCCTCTCTGTCTTTTCCGTTTCCCTCTCACTTTTTACGAAAACCGCGGCTCCCTACGCGTTTCTTTTCTTTTTCTGCCTGTCTCGCTCTCTTGAGGCTCTTTTGAAGGACTCGCAAACCGCTTTTTCATTTTCTACACACAAGCTAGATCGCCATTAATCATCGCCGAAAACCTATTTTCCTTTCTTGCCTTTTCTGTCCCGGTACGCGCCTGATTTTTGCCTGATTGGGCGTTCCGTCAAAAATACCCCGCTGTCAAAGATTCAGCAGCATCGCCACGTGCATTCCTCTACGAGATATGGGGGAGAATATCTTTGTTGGCGTATTTGCGCATGGATCTTTTTGGAATTTTTACTTTTTTGGTAAAACGGTTATTGCATGAACCACGATTAATTAAATCGTAGAGATTACGGTAGAAGACCAATATTCTCATCGTAATTTAATAATAATAAATTTTGACGATAAAAATATTAGTAGAAAAATTTTCTCACACTAACTGGTTAGAATTATTTATGTGTGGTTAACAATAATCACATATCTCTTATTGATAAGTAGTAATAATGTAAAAAGTATCAAACGTGGAATACATGCACGTGTTTTACAGGCGGCCATCTTAAAAATGGTGCCGTCGAGATTTCGGCCATATTCAACAGCTATATTCAATATTCGAAAGATATGAAATTACAGTACGCATAATCACAAATAAAAAAACAAAGTCATGAACACAGATAAAGAATTAATATCCTTATTTATTGTAATTTGGCGATGAATTCATGCATTTATGTATCCAATCACAAAGAATCAATCGTTTAATTTACTCTCAGTCTCACAAAAATACTATTTTTTTATTTATTACCGTTAACAATTTTTATCATTTACGTTGTATTTTATTAAAATAGTAACTTTGTGTGAGAAATTTATCGCTAATAATTGAATTAATTTCCTAAGAAATTAAGATATCGGTTTCCGTAATAATGGCGGGTTACATCTCGAAAGGCAAAATAATATAATAAATATGCAATATAGATATTTTGTGACTAAAATAATTTTTTTGAGATTAGTTCATATTGTTTATATATAAGATACGGAAAAGGAATGCACTTTTTATTTCGATGGCCGCATCTCCATTTTCACGAAGGATCGAGACCCTCTTCGCGCGCTCGAGACTGAATTTTACACCAGTTTCAAGCCCCCCTAGTTTTAAGCTACGAGGTCAATGATCCCCTCAAAAATCAGGGGGAGTTCGACTTCCCTTCGTCGTGCGGCGTATCCAAAAATACGTAAACGCCGAATAAAATGCACGCGTGTCGCGTGCCCCTGAACCGGTGCTGCTGATGCACGTACATCGCGGCCCCCCTTCCGCATGTCCCCCTCCCTATACGGAAAAACACCGATGGTGGCACGTGTTCACGGGACAAGGATGTTTCGCGGTTCGCCTCTAAAAATAGGCCGGTTAGAACACCGCCACCTTTGGGGTACTGCACATCGGGATACACCCGTCGCATCATCCCTCGTGTACATCACCATTTCCGGATGGGCGACATGGACTGCGTTCAGATTGCGTATAGTGCCCCGACTGGTTTTCCAGCCAATAGATAAGATTTGAAGCTAAATTTTTTTCCAGACACTGCGGGAGACGATTATTTTTTTTACAAATTCGTTACAAGTATTTAATTTAGATATTTGTACGATCAACCGTCAAAATTTTCTATCATAATGAAACTAAATTACGGGTAATAAGCTTGTTATGTTGTCAACTTTCCGTTTTATAATTCAACAATTCCGTAGTACCGGATATCACGGCTCGTCATAAACATACTAAACATACAACTGTCGTTAATTTATATTTTGCATTAAGAGTATTTAATTTGCCAAGTTAAGTTGCCAAGGGAAAGCTTGGGTGTTTGAGATTGCGAATCTGGCACATTCTATAATATACATTGCATCCTAGTCTAGAAAATAGATTTTCTCGGAGATTTCTCCACGAAGCGGAGAGGGGCAACGATGTGTGATATTGATTGATTGTTTGATTCCGTCGAAAAAGGCGTCTTCAGCTCTGATCATGCGACAGGGCGCCGTACTTGTTGCCAAGGTAGAGCTTGGGTGTTTGAGCTTGCGAATCTGGCACATGCGGGTTTCATCCCCATGTAAACCAGGAAAGTCCTGAGCGGAGGATATTAACGTGAACTGGATAGCTTAAATGGTGAAGAGCAGTCGCCCGGAATGCGAAAGATCCGGGTTCAATTCCCGGTCCAGTCGATCGCGCTTGATATTTTTCTCGCTCCTAAACAACGACGCACACTTCTTCTTGCATGCTAGGCAAAACAGCGTCTTGCACAGTGAAATTCTTAAAATAGTTTTACTCTTTTTCCTATAATGAGGATACGCTTTCATTTTGTCTTCACAAACTCGATAGCAAAAAATCATTAGCTTAATCTTAATATGTTAAATTTGTGATATTGTTATCCATGATAAATGTAAGATAAAAGAGCTAAGATTAGAATAAATTCAACGCGAAATGCACAAGAATATTTAGCGCGTTTAAGGGGGTTCTTGAAAGAGGAAAAAGGCCTGAGTTGAATTGGATACGTTCTTGGGAAAAGAATACATCGGTTTGGTGCATTTTGTACATTTTTCTAGAGGCGACTTCAGGTAAAAGGAATGTTTTTTCAAAAGAACTGGACCGTAGGGTCGATGTTTATCAAGATATACATCGATGAAATATTTTAGAACTGACCATTTCGGGCCATTTCTGCGCACCATGACAGTGAAAACTGCATTTCCGTCTAAACGATTTTTCTTTTCCTTACTCATAATCCTCTCATGTCCCAAAAAAACCGTCTGTCGAGAACGCGACATTTAACCAATTTTTAATTGTTCATTGGAAATTGATAAATTTTAATTTGTATCCTCATTGCGCATTTAACACCAAATATTCATGTTACATGTAATCACTAATCACTTTACTTGCCTAATTTAAAAGTACTTTATATCAATAAAAGGGGTAATTTGGTTACACTTGGTCAAACATAAACAACATAATCAACCAAAGAATATAATTAAAATATCGATCTTTAACATCATTCATTTATATTTCTATGTTTGAAGACATCTTCTTGACAAAATAGCAATCGTATGAACTGATATTTTATATTAAATATTTTTATCGAATATAACATTAGTTTCTCTAATAAAACAATAATGTAACATTTAAAAAACTTATAGATACATGCATTTTGTTTTATTCGTTCAAAATTTTGTGAATTTTATTGACTTTCGTCAGTTAAGAAATTACTTCTCGTAAAATTATCTTCTTTCAATTAATTTTCCATTTCTCTAAATTAATGGTCGTTTTTCTGGAGCTCGCAATCGAAAATAAACATACAAGAACGAATTATCACGCGATTCGATCGTGTAACGAAATAATGCGTCCACCGGATCGATGGACCGCCTGCACGCGTCTCGGATATCAAGAAGTGCCGGAAGGATGCATCGTCTGTGTGAATCCTGGTACCAGCATGCGCGCTGGCTTTTACGCAAGATTTCTTCGTAGCCAAAGATGGCGATGTTTAAATTAAGAAACGGAGTGGGTTTACGCTCGAGACCGGGGGCTGTGCTTTCTCGTATAAATATCGCGGCGGCTTAATGCCATATCCTCGAATCCACGAGGCTTCCGGGCACCACGGCGCGTGCCATACCGGAAGCGAGGGCACGTCGTCGTCGTCTCTCGTCGTTGCCCCTAACGATAACGCTTACTTTTCGCCGCACCATCTTGTCCTTCTCCTTCGACCCCAACGAAAACGACCCGTGCCCTGTCTTCTCCCCAAGGAACAGCCCCGATACAGCCGGTTGCTGATATTTATACGTTTCCTGTGGCAACACGTTACTCAAAGGGCTCCCTCTCTCTCTTTCCCATTCAAGGAGACGTGCCCAATTTTGTAGCGAAACACAAGACATTACTTCGGTAATGGAAGAACTATGCGCGACAAGCTTCGATGACCGTGGTTGAGTATGCTGCATTTTTTTTTTTAGATTTTTACTTAGAAATTTACTGACTCTGGTGATATGTTTCCATCTTTTGATATACGTTCGATTTTTCATGATATGTGTGATGTTACACTGTACAAACGTGAAAATTCAGCAGAACGAACCTTAAGATATTCGACTATCTTTACACATTTTATTAAATTTCGGTAAGGAGTTGTTGATATTGCTAATATTAGCAATATCAACCGCAAGTTTCTCGTGTCAACGGGATTATTTAAACTTTAAACGAAGCCCGTTCAAAGAAAATTTAATTTCTAGCAAAGTGATCGGCATTATTTTGATAAAGAAAGAAGAGTTACGTATGGTAGGCTTTAAAATGTGTAATCGATGCTGTGCTCGCAGTTTTTGTGAAGTATCGATCACGAGCTTAGAATAAAAATACACGTTGTATAATTTTGGTAGGTACGACAGAACCTCTAACGGCCTCAACCGCACGAGAGACAAATTTCAGAAACTTTTTGCACATCCCCGATAGCATCATGAATATCGTGGAAATCAATATTCCGCAAACTATCGACTAAATATATTGTTCTTTCGTTTGTAATCGATATATTACGCAGCTTAAAATTATTGTCTATAAAATATATTCTACGACCATATCATTCTTAGTTTTAGTAAATAAATTGCGTCAATTATATAAGCAAGTTTAAAATAAAAAGCATAAGCTATGCAACAAAATAATTTTAAAAACACGATTACAAAGCGAAAATTTCAGCAACCAGTCACCATCTTTGACATGCGTGAGTGGTGTGAAAGATTTGGCTCAGAAATGAATAACATTTTCAATCCTTCCACATCCAACGTCTAATACAAAGGTGCAAAAAAATGTGCGGCAATGAATTTTTTACAATTTATCATTGCTCTCGATACAGCGTATATAAAACATTAAAAAGCAATATTGACATTGTAAAATAAAGCAGTAAAAATATAGACACGTAGAGTTTAATAAAAAAAATCACTCTTTTGATGAGTGTGTAAAACTTTTCAGGATACACAAGAAAGCCACACAAATAAGCGTATAAGAAAGCTGTTAGCCGAAGCGTCTTTTAACTGTTTTTGCAGACTGTTAGCTCCGCAAAAGCTACAATTACATATTTTAAATTGCCGCAACGCCTGAGCAATTGTGCAAGCAATTTAAAAAACAAAAAAAGTGCATTTCAAAATCAGTGTTTAGTTCAATAATGATATTCGATACGATGCGACTTACCATTGTCGTCGATAACAAGCTGCACATGTTGCATGACCTCCTCGACAACTAGCGTTATTTTGTTATTGACCGCTGCGCGAAACATCTCCATCAATATACGCCCAACCATTTGCCTACAACAGAAAATAAAAACACGGTGATGTTAGATCACGGTCAGGTATTCCGCATATTATTGATCAATTTACATCTTTTAAGGTAAAGGTTTATCCTGAATTGGCTCGCGCAATGAGATACGTTCAATTTAAAAAATAGTGCCTTAAAAAAACGTTGCGTTACCCCCGCTAACACTATACGTTTTGCAACGTTAGCTTATCGATTTATCTCTCTATTGGAATTGCATTTTTTTGCGAAACTAATTTAATTATGTTAATACAAGCAATCGCGCTGCATAGTGTAGGAAATAACTTTGCGTTGCTGTTTTCAACAGCAACTGGATAGAATAGCTAACGGAATTTTCCGATGTAAGTCAACCCACGATGTGTTTGACATTCGTATATTCGCTTTCTAAGATATGTTTGCGTTCCACTCATACATCATCTCACTTCCTTACGTGATCGTTTTTTCCCTCTAATCTTGCTCGGCGTAGTCAACTGATCATAGGTTCTCGTTTCTTAATAATAACCACGTATCTATCGTTTCATTCGCTCTTACACACGTCTCTGATAATTTTTATTTACGTTATAATACGCGATTAGTGAACTGTCTCTAGATCAGTTAATTAGTTTAAGTAAATTAATTTAAGCTATACTGAAAAATAATACAAAAGAGCTTCTTTATATTAATTTTATGTACTTTTTCATAATTTTACGTGCTTATGTAATAATAATTAACTAATAAATTAAACAAAGAAAAATAATTATATTCTATTTTATTATATATATTGTGTACAAGTTGGAGATGCAATTTAGGAGCAATTCGTCTCCATTATAATGATTGGCTAAAGGAATGTGCCTAACGTTAAATTGCTATAAAAAAAATGCAAGAGTGAACTTCGTATACTTCATATTTCCTTTTGTACTTCTGTTACACCTGTCTTTTGATGCTCATAAAAATTTCGATGAGCTCGGTTCGATAATTAAACGCATAAATATAAGCATGATTTAACCAGCATCTGTTCAAACTTCGAGAGCCCAAAAGAAGAAGACAGAGGAAGATACCGCGAAGATACTGAAGCAAGGTACTGAGAAGCAACATGTGTCCATCTTAACGACCGTACACATGATATACCTAACGTCGAAGTGCTAAAAGGAAAATATAATAAGGGCAAACGCCGCAAATTCCAAGACGGTCGATTATCTTCATCAATTATTCATATACTCGTTGTCCACGCATTTCGGCGCGCATTTCGGCCCCGTGAAATTCCAACGAACTCGAATAAGTTCGATAATTAAATACATAAACCGAGTTAGGCTTCAACACACGGCCATCTCCCGAAGTTGGCGAGAGCCATAAAAGAAGAAGACGAAGAAGGAGAAGAAGAAAACGGCGAGTATCGAGGCAAACAAGCATCAGGACAAGTACGACAAGGAAAACGAGACGGGACGAGACGACGGTTTTGCGGGCAGCGCACTATCATCGCAGGCCATGAAGGCGGCGGCCGCCCTCCTCGACGAGTGGAATCGAAGACGAAGAGCAGGAAGTGGAAGACGAAGTATCGTCGCCGTGTAGTTCGATCACGTCGCTGCTACCCTTTCCTACCCGTACCTCCTGCGTGCCCTTTCCCGGCGTGACTTCGCTCCCACCACGACGCCAGGGGACCCTCCCCTCTCGCAAAGGAGACGCGAGAATGCGCGCGAGTGGGATCGAGCGGTGGTGCCGCGGACGAGGTAGGGAGGGCGGCGGCGGAGCGTCGGCGGTAGTGGAGGCGACACCAACGGAACATCGCCGGCGGTGCCCCACCAGGAATGTAGCGGCGGCGTCGCCGAGTGGGGCAGAAACGTTCTCCAAAGTAGTTGGAGAACGCGCGGCTGAACGGTACCGCCCGTGAACGCCTACCGTGCTGGCGCAAACATGGCCGCCGACCACGGCGGCGGCAGCGGCAGCAGCAACGACGACGACGTCGACGAAGGCGAGGGAGAACGAAGACGGTCTTCCCTGTGGAATTTTCGGGAGTAGGCGCCCGTGCGCGCGCGCGCTTTACGGTTCTCCGCGCGGAAATCCCTCTCCTCGGTACGGGACGTGTGTGTGCCCTGCTCCCAGGCGCCCTCTACCCACCTGTATCCCGTAGGACGACGACTTAAGTTCGTTTCGCGCGGACCCAGACAACCCCCTGGCCCAAAATTGAAGTACGGGCGCCGACACTTCCCTTACGGCCTATCACGCGCATGATCGCGGTAGTTCGCGAAGATCGATAAAGAACACGGCGTTTTCTTCCTCCCCGTTGCTCTCACGCGCGCGAGTAACTTTGTAGTTATGTATGTGTATATATATGCATATGTACATACATGTGTAAGGGAGAGGATATATTTCAAGTATTGTCATGGTTGACGTGGACTCTTTCTGTAGTATCCTAATATCGATAAGTTGTACGGGATTCCGAGAGAAAAAAACTTCGATGCATTGACCCATCGACACTTCGGGGATTGAGACTCGAAGATTGTAAAACCGTTAATAAAAAAATTATCTTTCTACTCTATCTTACTAGTTAGCTTTTTGATTAACGAGCAAGTGATAAAACTACGCCAGAACGGTGTTTTGCAACGTTAAAAAAATTATTCTCTATAATTTGGAGCGCATTAATCTTTACACCTGTAATGGACGAAGAAAATGAAAGTTATTGTATCGAGATTAAAATACGATGAAAGAATTTCTTTGATCTAATTTCATTGTCACCCTAAATGGTGACAATGAGTAATAAATGGAATAAAAGTGAAAGTAAATGCCAATTTTTCAATAATAAAGTTCCATATGTAGAATCGCAATTTTGTAGTTAATGTCGTGTAAGTGTCTACATTGGTCGATTTCTTGATTAAAAAAAGATCTGCAATTAATTTTATGCTGACATTAAAAATACTTTTGACTAATTGAATAATCTAAAATAATCTTTGTCTTACTCTTAATTGTGACTTCGTTCGACTTGAAAAAATAACTTGGAGAAATCGATTTTCTTCCAACAAGAAAAACGCAATATCCGACAAAAGAAAGCAACTATTAATTTTTTTCGTTTCAAGATTGCTCTTCAAAGAAGTTAAAAATAAAGAGAAAAATATATCTCTACAAATATCTCTTCGTAAATCAAGAAATTCCTGCTGGGGTTTCACAAAAGGTTTCATTTATGGTCACTTTTAAAACATGTAGTCAAACACCGATTTCCGCACATGGAACATGTTGTGACCCGATACTCTTTTACCGCTCTGTAAATTTATTAGTTCCTTTTAACATCCCATTTTCCGATAATCCTTCTCTCTCCGTCACCGTTTCGAATTCAGGTACTTTGGCGCTCTATTGTCTTATCCAGAGACAAATGCACTAATGGAGGACAATAAAGCAAATCAATGGAGGATGCAAGTGCAAAAGAGCTCTCAACTTAGGAGTATCTCAACAAGGATACTCTGGTCATGCTAATAAAACTAATGCGAACGTCGTGTTGCGCATAGGAAGAGAAACGCAACTTCTTACCGTATACGGAATCGGACGAAGTAAACCTGAAGAGAAGTAAAAGAATTCTCGGGTAGTTCGAACTTCACGATGTAAAATACCATCGGTTACGGCCGTCTTTCTATAGAAAAATATTTTCTATAGAAATTAAAGTAAAACCAGCAAGGGATGGTATTGTATTCCTGAGGAAAAGGAAATCCATAAATAGGGAAAAAGAAGCAGATCTCTCGTTTGAGCGACGATTCTGACGCTCAAGAGTATCTTCCTCACAATCGAAGAAAAGGAAGGGTTGACACGTTATTGGTTATGCATTAAGTGTCGCGGAAGAGAGCGAATGAGCGACAGGATAAAAAAAAGAGGGAGGTGCGCTTTTTCTTATTTAAGGTGAATGATATTTCGGTGGTTGATGATCGTCTCCCGAGTTTCATCCATTCGAGCTCTTCTTAATCTCATCATCGACGTCTGTCCTAGTACTCTCTTGAAAACATTCCGCGGGTTCAAGACATAACCCGATAAGATCTTCAGTTTCCGACTAGTATAGGAAGCTGAGCAAGTGCGCACGCGACACGTGGAAGAATTTTTCTGGCCGCCGAGAAGAACGGTGACCACACAATAATTAACAATTAATTAATCGAGAGAGGATTTTTCTAACTAGAATGCGATTGTTGATAGACATTATTTTCACATACCTATAATAATCAGAAATGCCACAAACAACAAGGATGATACAATAGTTATCTTTAACAATACAAAAGAGAATTCTCCTATTTCTTTAAAATTCTTAGCGAAAAAATTTGATTTTGTTAAGAATGAAATACATTAGAATTGAAATATATAATTATTGCTATAAAAAGTATTTCTCAGATAGATTTTTGAAATTACGATGTCATTAAATTTCAAAATTATTTCAACGAGCTTCAATCAATCTCCTGTTTATATTGTTATGTAATTTTCTTCACAAAGTGGATAAGAAGCAATTTTTTACTGCATCCATCATCCTACACCTACACAATCTTTCTATTTTATAATAAAAAATTTTAATAATATAAATTTTTAACAATCTTTTTTTAGTCCAGTTTATATCTAATATCTATCTCGATATGAGCACACAAGGAAATTGTGATAAAGAAAGAGGAAGGAAGAGGAGTGAAAAGCATAGCAAAAGAGAGAAGAGAAAAAGAAAAAAGAGAAGAAGAAAGGAGAGTAGAGGAGAAGAGAAAAGAGGAGAAGGGGAAAGTAGAGAGAGAGCGAGAGAAAGAACATTAAAATTCGTTGACTTTTGCTCCAATCTTTCCGCGCGAGTTTTCGATACCGGAAAGAAGATCGAATAGTATGTCTTGAATATATCGAACAAAATACAATATACGCGGCGAAACTATGCGGCGGTCTTGTCCGATGGGCATCAGGTCGATCGGACGGACATGCGATTCGCGGGCGACCAGTTTTGCGGAGCCGTTCAACAGCGCGGGCTTTCCGTCTCTTCCTTTCACCCGCACGGAGACCTTAAGGGAA